ATATATAGTGAGAGAGAGAACTAGGTTCAAATGTGGATTGGCATCTATTGTGTGGACCTGTGGACAGTACTATTCTGTAAGAATGACAAAGAAAATATGTTGTTTGATAATGTGAATGTGTTCAATCTTACATAACTATTGTCATTATTACGCATTCACACTAATTAAACCGTCTATAAGGTTATTATAGACTTTTTATTATTATTTCTTATTTCAGAATATTTATTGAGTCGTATTCTGTAAGAATGAAAATGAGTGAAAAATGTGATAACAAAAATGAATAAGAATTAGTTAGAGTGCATGAAAATGACAATAGTTGTGTGAGGTTGAACGTATTCGTGTTACTAAACAATCTATTCTCTTAGTGATTCTCATAGAATATCACTGTCCACACGTCCGCACAATAGTTGTCCATCCACATTATAACCTAACCCTATATATATATATATATATATATTATATATTATATATATATATGTGTGTGTGTGTGTGTGTGTGTGTGTGTGTGAAGTTGAATGAGAGATTGTGAGATTCAATTAATTAAGTATAACAAAGAATGCAAATTTGTAAGATTGAAAGATAGAAGTTGAATGGTATTTGCAGATAGTGAGTTTTGTGAAACGTGTTTGCAGACAAAAGTTTTGACGGTGATTATATACACCTGGATTCAATATACATCAATTTTACGAATGTTTTATGATAATTGTTTAAGAAATAAAAAACAAAATTTCTTTATTTTTGTGGAAGTCGTGCAAGTGGGTATTTGAGTCTTAATTCTCTTGTCCATGTTTGCTCCATCATTTTTAGTGGGACTAAAATTTAGGAGTTTAGTCTCATTTGACTTGGTCCTTGTTCCATTCAATTTTAGCTTCATGGGCTGAATAGAAAAGTTTTGGTGCCAAAAATATACCTCATGCGAGTACGGACTTCCTTTGGAAAAAGCTCTAAACCACACTTCGTCTTAAGATGAAAACAAATAAAAGGTAATACATTAATTATCATTTACATACATCCTCATGGACATGAACATTGCCTTACACAAGTTCGGTTAAAACAACAGTAACTGTTTGTACTTTGTAGATAGAATGATAGATAGGTCTGTCAATGAGTTGGGTCAAGATCTCAGCCTATGTCATATGATCCAACTTATCTAGAAACTTGATCAATTCATAGTTGGATCCATCCGTTAAAGAAATTGAAAATAGAACTTTCATCTTTTATATTCTATAAAAATGATCTCTTATCTTAAAGGACAATATAGCCAATAATAAAAGGGTTGATTAAGGTCATGATCCTTTTATTAAAGATAGATCAGGTTATGATCTATCTATTTGAAAAAGTTGGGTCATGATAGTTAATTAGGTCAAAATATTTGTGGAACCCATGGATAACCCCACTTTTTGAAAAGCTTATGGATCCATACTTGTTATTGGCACAAAAAGTAACAAACAAGACATGCCAAAAGATATATAATTAATAAGAATGACATCTAACCTTTAAAACTGGCGCCATCTCCAACAAGTGGAAGATGATATAGATTCACTTCAGTGCCATGCACCAAAAATCGTTCATTGTGTAGGATGTATTCTCCTGTTGTTAACTCAAATCCAGTGAGATCTCCACCAATGATGTGATTCCATGATTTGTATGAACCCAAAACATCTTCTTCTTCATCCCTTTTTCCATCTCCATACACAAAACTCACCCCACACTCCTTTGTAACTTTATCTAGTCCCTCTGTAAGAGAAATAGTAACTTTGTCACCACCTTCCATTTCCTTCATCCCAAACTTTCAATGGCTCAACAATATTGCACACCCTCCACTTACACTCACATTATGAATGTAATGTTCGTATATCCATGTTTGTTTCTTTGTTCTATTACTAATTATTATCAGGGGTAAAGTAAGGAAATCATCATTAATCCTAAATGGAGACTTCTGCACAAAGCAGAAATTCAATCCCCTGAGATTGTTAGGAGATGATGGGACGGTAAATGATATTGATGACCCCTTGCTTCTACTACTAATCCAATTTGGCATCCTCCCCCCCCCCCCCCCCCCCCATAAATTGTGTTGAATATTCCAAATTCGTAGTACATCTGCAAAACATAAGTTTAATTAATCACACACACACACACACACACATATATATATATACACTTGTCATTGATTGAATTTTGACCATGCCTTCAATTTCAAACGATGAAGGTGCTAATGAGTTCCCACCCCCCAATAATAACTCGAGAGGGGACATTTCTGGAACAAATGAAACTTTTTGTAGCAAAGGCTTATGTTCTGAGTTAGAATAGATGTCTAAAAATGCTTGTGTATATGGAGGATCAATAGACATCAGTAATTTACAGTTTTTCATACTGAGTATCACAAGTCTACGAAGGTTTCTCGCACAATTGGGCAAGGATACGATCGGATTTTCATCCAGATATAATTCCTTTAACATGGAGAGGCAACTAAAGTCCATGGGAAAGGATTCGTTGGATAAATTAGCATTTTCAAATGACAAGCTTACTAAAGACCTCAGTAAAGAAATCATAAAGAACTTTTGATCATTTGGTATAGCCTCCAAAATGACGGAATCCATATCACTAATCTTGGTTTGAGATTCACCAAGATTACAACAACCTAGCAAAAGTGTTTTAACCTTCTTTAACATCCGTATGGTTCTTGGAAGTTTTTTAAGTGTTTTGCAGTAGCTCAGATCAAGTAAACAAAGTTCAGCACATTGCTCAATTGATTCGCAAACCTCAAGAAAATGAATGGAATTTGTTAGTATTACCCTCTCAAGTGCATGAAGTCCATCAAAGCCACCCACACTACGAAGTTGTTCACAGAAACTTAAATCAAGAATCTTCAATGATCCAAGCAACTTTTTCTCTTTGGAGCACGATCCATCTAACTGCATGAATGGCGAATAGAATAGTAGTTAATTTTATCAACCCAAGAAGGAAAAATAATAAGTAGAGATAAAGTACCTTTTGCTTCTTCTTCGGTTGTGATGGATTAGTATAACAAACGTCAAATGATTCAATTTTGCTATAAGACAGGTCGGGAGCAACTAGACTATCCATCCGCAACTCTACAGGTATAGACTTTAAAGGGAACCCATGCATACACAACCATCTTAATTGTGTTGGGAAATTCTCATAAGACCCATTCATATCCACTCCACAGGTATAGACTTTGGATCGTATTTTGGATCGTTTCAATATATCAAATGGATTGATGATTAGTTATGTTTACGTAAATGGTTGATCCCATAAAATTGATGGTTTGTTTTTCTTTACTCTAGGGGTTGCTCCATTCATATCCACTCCACTTCTTAAGATAAAATTGCTTAGCTTAGGTTCCAATCCACTCCACTCTACTCCAGGTGATAACAAAACCATCATTTGTTTTTGCAAATGACAGTTTTACCCTTGTGTTTAAGGTTAAACAAATGACAAAATAACCACATTCTTTATTGATATTTTTCTTATCAAGATAATTTTTACATTGGAAAATCGACCACATTATAGCATTGTACTTTATCTTTTATACTTACTAGGATATTGTACTTTAAAAATAGTTCCATTTTGAGGTTTAGAATTTTGGAAAAGAAAACATCATTTGTCTCAATTTGTTACTAGTTGTTAAATGATAATTTTACCCTTATGTTTTAATCTTTTTTTCTTATCAACCCATTGTACTTGGAATAATCTAACCTAACTATAGCATTATACTTTCAGTTTTGTATTTAGATCAAATTGCTACAATTAGGTAAAATTTTAAAGTAAAAAGTAGGTAGCTTAAAATAATGTCGATAACGAGCGTGCCGAGACAAATGTTGAGATTAAAAATTGAAGAAGTTAGTTGAGACGCAACAAAACAATATGAGGATGTTCAACAAAAATATGAGGATGCTCGACAAAATAATGTGGAGTTTCAATAGAAAAATGTGGATGTCCAAGCAAATTTTGAACAACTTGCACAAACAATGAATGTGATAGAATATTATGTATCGAATATCGTTTTATGTTAAATTTGTAGCGACTTTTGATTTTGAAATATGTATCATTTGATTTATTAGATATTTCTTTTAGTTTCTACAGAGATACTCTGTTAATTTTGGTTTTATATTAATTGTTTTTATAAATTAATATAAATAATCGAATTGAATAACTGAATTATATCAAATAATGGTACGGAATAATTGCTACGAAATTTGCTATAGAAAAATTGTAACGTCCGAAAAACACAACCAATTTAAAATTTTCAAAACAACCCGATTTTCATTAAAATGTTTACAAAAAGGTTTTCAATACAATTCATTTAAGTATTCCCAGAATCATGTCGTTACGAAATCATAAGGAGCGGTACGATCGCGCCTTCGCCTTGCCACAGTCTCCTGAAGAACCTGAAAAAAACATTAAACCACAACTGTAAGCCCGAGAGCTTAGTGAGATACCCCCAAGATACCAACCACGCATACGCCCTTCCAGGCTACGACCTTCCGGCCCAAAACATATAAATCATACATAACATAACAGAACATAGAACAGCCATGCATATCGGGTCTAACGTGACTGGTCCGCCGTATCGGGCCTTCAGTCCTTCGGATCCATCCTCCGGGTCTAGTCATGTCCTTCGAGTCTACAGTGGGGTTGGTCCGCCCGCATCAGGCCTTCAACCCACCTGGTCCACTCTCTGAGTCTACAGTGTGACTGGTCCGCCCGCATCGGGCCTACAGTCGGTCTGGTCCACTCCCCGAGCCTCGGCACGTCTGGTCCGCCCTCATGGGGCCTACAGCCTATCCGGACCGCTCGCTGGCCTTCGGAACAACCGGTCCGCCCTGGGTATCTTGGCCTACAGCACAAAGCAGGACCCGCCTCAACCCATCTCCAGTCCAAACAACCATGTGCACAAAACATACATTCATATAACAGTCATAATCAACAAACCGAGTAAACATATCACATAGCATATCATTACTCTAACCGGGCTACCGACCTACCCGTTCACTAGCATAGCATTACTCTGCATATCGAGGACTGACCTTTACAAGGTCCCCTAGCATGTACCATCCTAACTACCAGGATGCAGACACAACCAGCAATAACATGATAAACGTAACTGAATCTCAATACAATAAAGGGCCGGCCTTGGTGCCTTAGACCCTGTTGATATAGTGAGGATAACTCACCTCGAAACTGACGGCTGAAAAGAGAAGATCCCGCTGCTTCGAACTCTGACACAACTCCTCCACTGAACATCAACAACAACCCAATAAATACCCATAATTACCGAAATACCCCTGGAAGACAACTGATCAACCCTGGACAAGTCAAAGTCAACCCCTGACAGACCCTACTCGCCGAGTCAACCCGATGACTCGCCGAGTCCTTATGCTCAGACTTCCCTCACTTAGTGACCCAACTCGCCGAGTCACCCCAAGACTCGTCGAGTGCAACAACTCTGAGTCCACTCGCACCCAGCTCACCGAGTCATCCCTCGACTCACCGATTCGTCGACTCAACCAGGAATATTGGGACTTCCTCGACATGACTCGCCGAGTCCAAGGCAATCTTCAACCTACTCGCCGAGTTGTTCTTCCAACTCGTCGAGTTCAAGGCCATCTTCAAGCAACTCGTCGAGTCCACCCATGTGACTCGCCGAGTTCCACCGGTCTGAATCCATACAGAAGCATCTCAGGCCATGCAATTGATCCAAAACATAGATCCAGCCTCCTACAATCCATCCATCACGTAAAGTGGCAATCCTCGAAGCCTTCGGCATCTCATCTTCAATTTACTTCCCACTATGCGCCACTTGACCTTGACCGAACCAGCCCCTCAAAGTACAACCATAGAACCAGAAGCTCACTTTCTCCTTCCATACGGTGTTCCCACCACCTACTCAAACCGGCACCCACTGTACCCTCCGATAACCACACTCAACAACCGAGAATTACCCATAATGCCTTATTGCTCCAATTCTCATCTTTCACTTGACTCGCATGGCTATAGAGCTACGAACCCTCGGATTCCCGATCCAAATTCCACTCTACCCTTACCATGACGACCGAAAGACTCATTCTTCCATTTCGGAGCAACTCCCCCGAGTTCTCCTATTGCAATCACACATACATGCCGATCTAGCTCTAGCAGCCTCAGGTGCGGATAACCTGATATACAGACGATATCCTCAACATCCTTCCAGAATAAACCACTGGCACATACCCAGAACCCTGATCATGATCCCACTGAGAGTCCAAGACTCCTGCTCTGTATCCCTTCCGAACTCCTCTCCCTGACTCCACGTCGCGATTTTCCCTCTGCGCCCAAAGCAACATATCGAGTCGAATAAGCTTATTTTCTGCCGCCGCAACACACTACTCAAAGACCATCGACAGACCACAGTGATCGCAACTCCACACTGTCGCTTTCACTTCCGTGAATTCGCTCTCCCTTTCCGGAGTTTCATTCCTCCCTCTTTCCTTGCCAAGGAAACCACTCGTCTGCTCGCTCATCATGACAGGCACCCTGGTGCTCAACCTACGCCACATTACCTCCTTACAGCGTACTCAACATCCATGCATTACCGCTACTCTGCCTCTCATCACAAGGACTCTCAAGCCCGTGCACTACCTTTACCGCTAAAGATCGCTCGCCGGGCCAGACCTCCCAATGTATTCCCACTGCAACATACGCAACCCATAACCTCCAACCGATCTAACATTACCCGCAGAGTCTTCAGCATGACTGGACCGCCTCCCCGGGCCTTCAGCCAATCTGGACCACTCTCAGAACCTTCAGCCAATCTGACTGGACCGTCCTCCGAGCCTTCGGCCTGACTGGTACGCCTACGGCCTTCAGTCTATCCGGACCGCTCAACAAGCACTCATTATTCCGAACTATCTCTTCAGGAAATCTCCCGTGCATACCGTTCTAACCCTCTAGGGGTTCCGAACTCTATCTCCATCCTACATGCTCGATCCCGACCTGCTCCCATGCCTTCCTCAATCAACTGCTCTAGGTCTGTATTCCGCCCCGCACGCCTGTTACTCACTCATACGAGCCTGCTCTCAACTAATAGAAATACCGCTGAATTTCCAAGCAGCTAAACAACCTCTCAGGCCCAACGATCATCCGGAGAATTTCCAATTCTCCCCCACTTAAGACACTGACAGATAGTCACCGGTTTCCATCATCGATCTCCCCAAGCAACCTTGCAGGAATCAACACATGCACTCAAAATGTTTTTCACCAGCACCAACAACTTTCATACCATCATGCTCCCATGCTGCACAACCTGCTCGAAAGGAACCCAATCTTCAACTATCAATTCCTCAGACTACCGAATCTAACTGCCCTTCAAACCAACGCCGCATCCGCCACCAATCCTCACAAAGATAATCAACGATAGCTCGAAGTACAAACCCATAACCATAACGATCCCCCAGGGAACACAAGATACTAAAACGAAATCTCGATCACAACTCGCCAAACCCTCAAGGAACAATGAATACCACACGAAACCCGAAACGCAATTCCATAACCAACCAATGAAACCAGCAGATATCAATACTCTACAACAATCATAAATAATCAAAACAGCAGAAAGAACATACCCGAAGCAGCAAGCTGAAAAAAAACACGGCCCTAAGCCCTTGGGGGATCTGCTCCACCCTGACCTCCACCTGTGATCCTCAACGTAGCCGGTGCTGGAGCCTGCATCGATCCCACAGCAAGCTGTGGACAGTTGACCTTCAAATGTCCAACCTGATGACAATGATAGCATATCCTAAATCCCGAACCGGCACTGACTGCCGACAATCCCTCGCATAGTGTCCCTCCTTCCCGCACTTGCGGCATGCTCCACCGGACCGACAAACCCCGGCATGACCCCTTCCACACTTTCCACAGACGTGGCCACCCTGATCCCCCATCCTGGAATCAACGGTCTTAGACCGTTTCGTCGCCGGCTGCGACTGAACCGGAGCTTGCCTCAGCTCACGCATTTGCAACTCAATCTCTAACTCACGCCGCCTGGCGGTCTCCTGCAACTCCAGCAAAGTCTCGCACCTCTGCGTAGACACAAACTGCCTGATGTCTCTTTTTAGCATACTCAGATATCGGGACATCTGGGCCTGCTCCGAAGCGAACTCAGGGCAAAACATCGCCCTCTCAGTAAACATCCTGGTGATTTCCGTCACCGACTCCGAATCCTGTTTCAACTCCAAGAACTCCTGAGCCAACCTCTCCCTCTCGACCTGCGGAACATAACGAGTGCTGAACATCTCTCTGAACCGATCCCATGAAATTGCAGCCCTCTGCGCATCCGAGTACGACCCCGTGGTCAATCTCCACCAATCCTTTGCTCCGAGCCTCAACAGGTTCAAAGCACATCCCACCCTCTTATCAGCAGGGCATGAACACGTGAAGAAGCATCCTTCCACATCTGATAACCATCTCATAGCAACGATCGGATCCTGAACTCCATCAAAAGTGGGAGGCTTCGTATTGTCGAAGTCCCGATACTGAAAACCTCTACTGGCTCCTCCCCCTGCCGCTGCTACTGCTGCGGTAGCCGCCGCGACAGCCGTCTCCGTGAGAGCTGCATAGCGCTCATCAAAATACTCCACCATGGCGGTCTTGATCGACCCAAACAACTCTGGCAGCTCAGCCCAAAACAATGCGGCAACCTCATCATGCAAGATCTCACGAATCCTCACATCCAACTCATGCGTACTCATCTGGCTGACAACCTCGGGTTGTACAGACCCACCCGGAACTCCCTCTCCGGCTCCTGATCCTGACCCGGATCCACTCCCAGCGTGCCCTGAAATCTCCATACTGAAAATAAAACACCAAATCTCAGACATATTCCACTAACCCGGGAACCGGCTCACATCCCAACCCTAGAGGTCATGGTTTCCCTGATACGCGTATGAGTCCGTGCTTCCAGTAGTACGGGCCCATACTACCTTCCACACCAACCCATATTTGCATGAAGTACTCCCACAACACCCTAGCGGCGCACATAACAACGCTCTATCCTCACAACTAGAGGAGCACTAGAAATCTCTCACAAGGAACCCTAGGCTAGCAGGCATCATAAATCAGGCAACTTATCAATAAATCCTGAAGATCCCTAGCCTAACTCTAGCATGCTGTTTTATCAAAGCTCAATAAAACAATTGCCATGTATGGTATTTTGGGGTTACTTACTGGCTCCGGCTGATCGTACCTCCGCGTCCTCCTTTACTTATTTGAAAACCATTTTAATTTCTCTTTTTGAAAACTCTCCTCGATTTGAGACTGGAGTCACACAAGTGTTCCTCCAATTCACTCAAACCAAGGCTCTGATACCAACTTGTAACGTCCGAAAAACACAACCAATTTAAAATTTTCAAAACAACCAGATTTTCATTAAAATGTTTACAAAAAGGTTTTCAATACAATTCATTTAAGTATTCCCAGAATCATGTCGTTACGAAATCATAAGGAGCGGTACGATCGCGCCTTCGCCTTGCCACAGTCTCCTGAAGAACCTGAAAAAAACATTAAACCACAACTGTAAGCCCGAGAGCTTAGTGAGATACCCCCAAGATACCAACCACGCATACGCCCTTCCAGGCTACGACCTTCCGGCCCAAAACATATAAATCATACATAACATAACAGAACATAGAACAACCAAGCATATCGGGTCTAACGTGACTGGTCCGCCGTATCGGGCCTTCAGTCCTTCGGATCCATCCTCCGGGTCTAGTCATGTCCTTCGAGTCTACAGTGGGGTTGGTCCGCCCGCATCAGGCCTTCAACCCACCTGGTCCACTCTCTGAGTCTACAGTGTGACTGGTCCGCCCGCATCGGGCCTACAGTCGGCCTGGTCCACTCCCCGAGCCTCGGCACGTCTGGTCCGCCCTCATGGGGCCTACAGCCTATCCGGACCGCTCGCTGGCCTTCGGAACAACCGGTCCGCCCTGGGTATCTTGGCCTACAGCACAAAGCAGGACCCGCCTCAACCCATCTCCAGTCCAAACAACCATGTGCACAAAACATACATTCATATAACAGTCATAATCAACAAACCGAGTAAACATATCACATAGCATATCATTACTCTAACCGGGCTACCGACCTACCCGTTCACTAGCATAGCATTACTCTGCATATCGAGGACTGACCTTTACAAGGTCCCCTAGCATGTACCATCCTAACTACCAGGATGCAGACACAACCAGCAATAACATGATAAACGTAACTGAATCTCAATACAATAAAGGGCCGGCCTTGGTGCCTTAGACCCTGTTGATATAGTGAGGATAACTCACCTCGAAACTGACGGCTGAAAAGAGAAGATCCCGCTGCTTCGAACTCTGACACAACTCCTCCACTGAACATCAACAACAACCCAATAAATACCCATAATTACCGAAATACCCCTGGAAGACAACTGATCAACCCTGGACAAGTCAAAGTCAACCCCTGACAGACCCTACTCGCCGAGTCAACCCGATGACTCGCCGAGTCCTTATGCTCAGACTTCCCTCACTTAGTGACCCAACTCGCCGAGTCACCCCAAGACTCGTCGAGTGCAACAACTCTGAGTCCACTCGCACCCAGCTCACCGAGTCATCCCTCGACTCACCGATTCGTCGACTCAACCAGGAATATTGGGACTTCCTCGACATGACTCGCCGAGTCCAGCTGGACTCGCCGAGTCCAAGGCAATCTTCAACCTACTCGCCGAGTTGTTCTTCCAACTCGTCGAGTTCAAGGCCATCTTCAAGCAACTCGTCGAGTCCACCCATGTGACTCGCCGAGTTCCACCGGTCTGAATCCATACAGAAGCATCTCAGGCCATGCAATTGATCCAAAACATAGATCCAGCCTCCTACAATCCATCCATCACGTAAAGTGGCAAACTTTACGTGAATCAAACGAGATCTAGGCCATTTTCACCTTAAAACCAAGGTTTGGGACATGATAGCTTCACTCATAGCACAAAGGTTGGGACTTTAATGCACTCAAAGACTTCTCCACTCCAGATCTGAGGTAGCAACCTCAGATCCATCCTCCAACACCAAAATGTCACACAACCAAGCATCCCACACAACCCCAAATGAAGAAACTAGGAATGCACAGCTTAAGGACGAAGATATTACCTCCAGAAGATGCCTCAATAACAGCTAAACACGAATCCAAGCAAAGCCCTTTGATCCAAACCACTTCTCCTTCAAGATTTCTCCAAGCAACACCTCTCCAAGCTCCAATTTGCTCCACCAATGCTCTTCTCCACGAGATTAGGGTTTCTGGAACTCAAGGGGGGAATAAGAGAGGCTGTGGAGGGGTATAATGTTCTTTATATAGGGCTCAACCCCGGAAACTAGGGTTTTCTCCATACAGCACCTACTCGCCGAGTAGGCCACTCGGCTCGCGACCATGACCGCGACCTGACTCGCCGAGTCTATCCATGGACTCGCCGAGTCATCCTCTAAAACTTACACTTTTAGCCCTTCAACTCTACTCTTGCGATTCCGGGATGTTACAAAAATCACTACGGAATTTGCTATGGTAGCATTGCTACAAAATTTGCTACGGAAAAATTGCTACGGAATCTGCTATGGAAAAATCACTATAGAATTTGCTACGGAAAATCGCTATGCAATTTGTTAAGGAAACATTGCTACGGAATTTGCTATGGAAAATTGCTATGGAAACATTGCTATGGAATTTGCTATGGAGACATTGCTACAGAATTTGCTACGGAGATATTGCTACGGAATTTGCTACAAAAATGCTATGGAACTTAAATTGCTACGAAATAGTTGTTGTAGAAACCGCTATAGTAAAATTGCTACGGAATTATAATTTCGTAGCTAGAAATTTTGCTACAAGAAATATAGCTACAGAGTCTAATTGGAAATTTACGTAGCAAATTCCGTAGTTATTTAGCTTTAGCTACGGAATGTTAGTTTTTTACTATGAAATTTTTCAGTAGCTAAATTCATATTTTCTTGTAGTGAAATGCATGAAAACATAGAAGTTTTGCTGATTCATTCTCATATAATCCTTTGAGCTCATACTATGCATGCTCGGGTGTAGCTTTCGTTTTGAATAGTGCCTAATTCTCTATCAACCTTGCATCCTTCGTTGTAATTATGATTTTGCTATCTGGGTGAAAGTCTTTGCTTCCAAGTAACGCATTTAACTGGTCGGCCCTATCAATATCATCAAGAACTAGAAACACCTTTTTATGGGCTATTGCATTCTCTATCATTGAGGTGTAAACACCATGAACTTGAATTGAGCTCGGTTTTGAAATGCCATCATAGAGTTGTTTTTGTAGATCAAGCAACCCATTAACATTTTCACATCTCGTACTGATATCTCCATTGAAGATGCTTGTGTTGAATTCAAATGCATGTAACATGTAGACATATCTGGCTAAAGATGTCTTCCCTATCCTACCCATACCCAAAATAGTGAGTATGTCTCCCCTATGCGAGGAATCACCTTTCAGCCATAAAGTAACAAATTTAATGGGATCATCCATCCCAATAAGCAGGACCGGTCCTGAAAAATGAAATATTCTTAAAGGCCCAGGACAAACAACAAAAAATGGTACTTATCTTTATTATAATTTTGTATTTTTTAATAAAAATATATAATGAAAAAAATTGAGCCCTGTGCAGCTGCCGACTTTGCCCTCCCCCCCCCCCCCCCCCCTTCTTCTAAGCCCCCCATGCCAATAAGTAGTGGCAGAGCACCCCTTAAGGGTAATTGTAATCTACAGTAGATGTCCTTAACAATCTTTTTGATAAACTCCGTCTCTGGCCTTGTAATCTACGGTAGATATCCTTAACAATCTTTTTGATAAACTCCGTCTCTGACCTGAAACTTAATTTTAATAAGTACAAAACTAACAAACTTGAATTGGAGATTTAATTTATCCAAAAATCCCCAATTGAAATATATATATATATATATATATATATATATATATATATATATATATATATATATATATCCGGTAAGAAATATTTTTTAGTAGGAAGGTAAAAAAAAAATTTCGGCTTATTTTTTTGGCGAACAAAATAAATGAATTATTAGATGAATCAATAATAACATGATTCACAAAAAAAATCCCGAAAAAACATTTCGATGATTCATTTTTACGATGATTTTGTTAATATTCACTAAAATTGTTATAAAATGATTTTTTTTTCTTGATTTACCTAAAAATGAATAATAAAGGTGTTTTTTCTGGATTTTTTTCTTGTGAATCATCTTACTTTTAAATCATCTAATAATTCATATCATTTTTTCCTAAGAAAATATGTATATAAAAATTTTCTTACCTTCCTACCAAAAATTTCCTTCTTATTTGATCTTGACTCTCTCTCTCTCTCTCTCTCTCTCTCTCTCTCTCTCTCTCTCTCTCTCTCTATATATATATATATATATATATATATATATATATATATATATATATATATATATATATATATATATATATATATATATATATATATATATATATATATATATATATATGCTACTATTTTTAACTAAGTTTTTCGCATCAAAACAATTCCATATTTACACTTCTAACCTATAAGTATCTAATGTGCAAGGTCATAAATCATAATCTTTATTTTAAAAAGAGCAGAGTCACTGTAATACAAATTTCACTAAGGGGCAAACAAATTGCATTATGTTTCTACAATAACAACAAATCCAGTATTGGATCTGATTTTGCATGAAGCAGAACATGGCATAGGCCATAGGATAGTTATAGGTTATCCTTTACTGCTTACAAGTAAGACAACTTATTTTGTATAGCAAACTAAGAGTTCAAAATTCAGTTTAGCATTTACAGGCTCTTAAAATAGTTTATCTAACTTTTTTTTTATTCATGTGTCTTTAATGATACCGAAGAAACTTATTGAAATGCATAGGGTGGACAAAATATAAAGATTTCAAGCGTTACTCAAACAAAACTGGAGTATGGAAATATGGGTAAGAAGTAGTTACCTGCCATCTAGATCCATCCCTTTCAAACCAGCAACTTCAGTAAGCGCTTGAATCCATCCTTCAATCCTTTGAGCCATTTCTCTTCTTTTATTTGCATCTGTCTCTGCCGCCATCTTTTGTATGTGCTTAGCCATTGCATCGTTGAAGCTACCTATTTGCTTCCTGACATGGGTGGGCTCAACATCATAAAAGATGGGGATAACAATTTGGTTGGATGTCATACGTTGATCTAGGATCAGAACCAGTTCATCGAGACACCATGATGAAGTAGCATAATTTTTGGAGGGCACGATAATGGAAGCTCTAGAATCTCTAATCGCATTCATCAGTTCCGGTTTCAGTTCTTCTCCGGTTTCAATCTCTTCTTCATCCAAAAAGGTAGAGATATTGGCACTGATGAGGGCACTATAGAGATGATCTATGAAATTATTACGAATATCACGACCTCTAAAACTTAAAAATACGTCATATTTATACTCGGAGGTAGATGAAAAAGATGATCCATCTGAAAGTTCAGAAGAACTATTATGATCAGTTTCTGGTTGATGACCATGAGTTGAAGAAGATGAAGATCCTTCTGAAAGTTCAGAGATAACAGCCATATGATTACTAATTTGAGACTGGATCTACAATCAAATTGATAGTGGTTTTTACAACGAAAGTCCAGTTCAATAACTAATTCTGATAAAACTCATACTTTATGGAATTTTCTTGGAAACTTACAAGGTTGAATCTTTTGTCATGTTCACTGATCTCAATCAACTATTGTAATAATAACTAAATTACAAAAAACGTCCTTTTCCTTTATCACCGTCTGTGGATATAATGCAATATTTATTTTTATTTTTTGGCGATAGAAACATGGGTTTTAGAGATGGACGTATCTGTCGCTATTCCGTCGCTAAATGTTGTTTGAGATGGATTAGCAACAGACTTACTCCATAGCTAAATACAGTGTGGCTAATTACCAAGCGAGGGTTTTAGCGATGGATCAGTTTATCCTTGCGATGAATTTAGCGACGGAGTATCCGTCGCAAAATGGTCCCTTAATACAATTATTTAGGACATTCGCGACAAATTTGATAACAATATTCCATCGATGTTCTGTCGCAATCTTCATATCCTTTTTTTTAACCCGTCGCTATTCCCTAGCAGATCTCATATATTATTTTTTATTTTTCCATAGCTAATGCCTAGCAAACTTTGTAAATGATTTTTTTTATTTTCCGTAGCAGATCCCTAGCAAACTCTAGATATGATTTTTTTTCCGTTGCTGTTCCCTCACAAATATATAGAATCAAATTTTATTATTATTATTATTTTTATTATTATTATTATGAATATAAAAAAAGATATAAAAAACATCAACTAATAATACAATCCCAAAGCAAACATTTAACATTTAAAGAACACTAATAATAGAAAAAATATATATATATATTATAATACCCAAAACTAAACATTAACATTACAATGCTAAAAACTATCAAATCATCCAAAAACATAGATATCGATGTTTACCAAATCATCCAAAAACATCAAATATTAAAATTTACCAAAGCATCCAAAAAGATCATATGTCCATCTACCCACACATCTCTTCTCGTATACGTTCATACACAGCCTGCTGTTAAAACATGGATGTAAGATGTTATAATCTGGTATTTTGGTAAGTATAATGCTATGATAGGAAAATTTACAACATGGTAGAATTTGTAAGTACAATGTCATCATAGAAATTTTTTATAAAATACAATGTTATTGTACTAGGCTACTAGCTATTCCTTTCAAAAAGCTCACTGGATCAGACACAAATGCAGATCATAATATTCTTCCTTTGTTGAAAAGCAATGTACTTTTTAGACAATATATATATATATATATATATATATATATATATATATATATATATATATATATATATATATATATGACAAAATTGCAAAAATGGTCCCTGTGGTTGGCAAAATTATGTGACTTTGGTCCAAAAAAGTTTGATGGTGCGTCAGTGGTCCAATTTTGGATCTTTTTATTGTTTTTGGTCCTTATACACTTAAAAAGACAATTATGCCCTTACAATTTATATTTTTCATTTTCTTTAATTCTGGAAATGCATAAATTAATTTAATTTATATTTTTCATTTATATTTCATTTGTCTCATCTCTCTCAACAAAAGAAACACACACACACTCACACTCAAGAAACATATCGCCCCTAATGGATGCCACCATTACCACCGACTGCAACCACCAACAACTACCACCGTCCGCCACCATCACCATTGGCTGCCACCACCATCCACTACAAACAACTAATCCCATCCTCGCCCATCTTTCTTTCCTCAGACCTGGATGAAATTTCCCCACCAGAACCACCCTTCTGATTGGTGTTGTCCCTACCAAAATACCACCACTTCCATTTTTCAATGATTAGGGGTTTCAGCCACCACCACCACCACCACCATAGAAGATGACAACATCCTCATTCACCACCATTGTCTTTCTCAACCACTATTCGCCACCAACCACCATCATCTCCCCCACCCTCACCTCCTCTCCGTTAACCAGATGACCTTCACTGTTGACCACCAAACCACCGTTCATCGATTTTTTTTCCAAATACCTCTCAATCCTATAAGACTTGAAACATCAGAAAATCAGGGGATGATTGATTCGAAAGGGGTTGAAAAGAACCTCAAATATTTCATCAAAAGTACAGAGAAATGAAAAATCTTCTACCTAGCTAGATAGAGCAAAAATCGAACCTCATATAAAATCTTTAAAGACATGTCAACTACGAGAGTCTTAGAGAGAAAAACACTAACTTGTTTCTATCAAATTCTCAGTTTTGGCGATATACAGGTCCGATTTCATAGTTTTATTTACATATCTGAATTCTAGAATTTATGCTCCTTGATGATGGTCAGATGCTTTTGTATTGCCCAGATGTATTTGAATTTACCCCTCTTGGTGCAAATCGAAAACCCAGAAGATGATCCTATCTGATTTGCGTTTTTTTATTCTTTGGTTTGGTTTGTTTTAAGGTATTGGATGTGTGTAACAGTCTAGTTTGTAGATCTGGAAATGAACATTTTGAGCTATCGGAGAAGACGAAGGGGCAGTGGTAGATGGGTCGCGTCATTGGAATTTTCATCTGGGTCACAAGCTACCGTCACCGGAGTTTGCTAGGGGTGGGCGGTGTTGCACAAGTAAGGGGTTGCAATGGTGGTGTAGGCGGTGGTTTTCGATCATCTGTAGAATACAGGGAGAGGGTAGACCAAGTACCGATTTTGGTGTTATTAAGAGAGAGAGAGAGAGAGAGAGAGGTGGGGTATAGTGGGTGATAATTTAATTTTCTTTTTATTTTAAATAATATAATAGGAAATTTAATAAAATAAATTAAAAATGAAATATTTCAGGGCATATTGGTCATTTTATGTTGGGTGTGGACCAAAACCACACAAAAATGACAATATAGGGACCAAAACCGTAGAAGGTATCCAAAATTGGACCACTGGTACACCGTCAAACTTTTTTGGACCAAAGTTACATAATTTTGCCAATCACAGGGATCTTTTTTGCAATTTTGTCTATATATATATATATATATATATATATATATATATATATATATATATATATATATATATATATATATAAAGAATAACATTATAGGATGACACCCACATTAGAGTTTGTACTTTCAAATATAAGATATTGTACTTTCTATTCAATTATCATGCATATAAAATTTTAATAATTTAGTTTCTACATATAATATAAAAAATTCCAATATACTAACTGATTAAATTAAAGAATGAATTATTTTCTGACATATATTAGCAGTGGTTCACATAAAAAAAATAGAAAGATGAATGAATATAAAAATTAAACTAGGACAATGAAGTATCCAAAACTTTAGCTGCCTATAGCTTAATGTACTCTTAATGTAATTTCATACATTTTTCTTATTAACACAACTGTACTTTCAAAATGCAATTCAAAAAATGCAAATGAAGCAGAGCCAAAAACAAAAAAATAAATAAATAAATAAATAAAACTAACCATTATTGGAGCAGCAACATGAGAATTTGGCTGTAACAAAAGGATGCTGCAAGAAATAATGCAAAAAATATTGGAACAACATAAGTTGAGACTTGAGAGAAATTAAAAAAGATTCAAATTTAGAATCACCTGCAACAAATTAGAAACAGATGGCCTCATCTCAGGTTCCCTGAAATATAACCAACAAAGTGAAAAAACAAAGTGAAAAAACAAAGACCAAAATACCCCCATTAAACAGATGGCCTCATCTCAGTTTAACTGGAAACAAGGTGAAAAAACAAAGACCAAAATACCCCCATTATACGGATTGGAATATATATATATATATATATATATATATATATATATATATATATATATATATATATATATATATATAGGCATGCTTCCTTTGTGCATTCTAGCAATGGTGTGTTCGTGTTAAGTTCTATGAATTTCAACATTCCTAGAGGCCGGTGAAAGGAATTTGATTCTATTCTTTCTTTTTTTATTTAAAGACAAAAATGCCCCCAATTATATGGATTGAAATAAATGAAAAAGTAAAATGATTAGATGTATCATGTATGTACTTGTGTAAGCATTTGAGAAGTAAATCTTGTGCCTCGAAAGAATAATTGTAAGGAATAGGTGGATGAGACTTTGTAGTGCCAATATAAAACAGAGCTGTAACCTGAAATGAAGATAAAATAATATCAAATGATGTGGAGCAATGATCAAAGTTTAAAACATAAGTATTGAAATCAAAAACACATTCTAAAGAAAAAAGTAGTTTGAAATTGAATAGTACCTATTGTTGATATTGTTGGCTCCTGGGAGGCTTTCCTGTAGCCATCTCAATTATCGTACACCCAAGACTCCATATGTCAGCATAGCTAAAAAATGATAAAAAGAAAATAAGAAAATAAGAAAATAAGAAAATAAGAAAACTAGTATCCAAATAATTCGTTTCTCAACACCCTTTTGGATGAATAGAAGATATATGAGTTGTAGCATAGTATTTACTTACATTAACTGTTGTAACTCAATACAAACAAGAAATATATGGAAAGTGTTGCAAGATATGAACTTTTTGAGTTAACAAATGTATCAAGATTCAATAGTAGAAATCCATTGTTTAAGTTTAGGTGTATATTGTGACTTTCAATGAAAACTCAAGAAATCAGGTGTAAAAATGATTGATATAAATGTACTTACAAGTTATGACCAGTTTGAAACTTTAGGAGCCATCCAATATGGTGTTCCCTTGATTGACTTCGAACCTGTCGTAGAAAGAAGAAAACAGAGGAGAACAAATGAATTTTCCATGGCCATTTCCATTTTCCAATAATGAGGGTATTTACGTCTTTTTGACAATCTTGTAGATGATATGCTACCTGACATTATTTTGTGTAAGCTCATTTAGTACGGACTTCAATAGCGAAAGTGGAAGGTAAAGATGATCTTTTGAAGGGTATAACTGCAATGTTGTTCATAATGACTATTCAAATAAGTAAAAAACAAAATAATTTCATATATAATTTAACTTGACACAAAATATTTGTTAACTTTCTAAGACAAAAAAAATACAATTGGACAAATTACCTGCATATTTGATGAAGTTTTCACCATATAATCAATTGGAGGAATATTGTCCTAATAACGGAAAGACATCTAACATATCATATATCAAAATAACATCATTAGAAAATTAAAAAAAAAATGTGAACATGATATGATAATATTTGTTGGTGTTCTCTGATACTTCATCAAAGATCCACTTGCAAACACCAACTTGTTGCCAGAGTTAAATTTATTTGAAAAGGAGCCGAACTATATAATTTATGTTCAACATTTGTTGGTGTTTTCATGAAACACAGACTAGAAACACTGACCATGGCCATGTAATTCTCGGTTTGTGACAATGTTTATAGGAACAATTTCCTCAATAACCTGGAGAATAAATACAACACGACAATATTTATCTCAAAATCATAAATAATTCCTTAACCACTCATGATATAAATGATAGACAAAGAATCCTTTTAAGAATTTAGACCTGAAAATGTTTAGAGGTGCGTGGCTGACCAGGAAACTGGGATGGATGTTGTCGATATTTTTTTATCTTTGAATTTGTCAGTACCATGCTTTCAATTTTATCTAAGCTTCCTGGAGAAAATAATATTGAATATACAATCGGTTAATGAAATTATTTCATTAAGGCTACAAAAAATTACATATGCATACTTTACAACAAGTAATTTTCTTTGTAGAATGGAAGGAGTTCGTCTCTTGTATATACCCCTCTTGACTTTGGATTTACCACTACAATGGCTCAAAATGCATACTAATCAGCCACACTTCAAATTTTTCAGCCACTATGTTCAATAAATAGTAAATTGCTTCTTGTTTTCAGCTAGGTACATGCTATTTACTCATCAATCGGCAAGAACATCAATTCACACCTAATCCTATCATCTACCACAATACAGTAACCTAAAATTATGCATATATCCACAAAGTTCAAAATTACCTCAAGGTTAATCAAATTTGTACGAACAAGTGTTTGAATGGGATGACCACCACAGTGTTCCAGCCACTGCCAACAGAATTAGGATGTGATTTCGGATTAGGTTTTCCTTTGAGAGGCTTCGAAGATGGCGATGCAGGTTGACTGTGGTGGAGGTGATTTCAAGGGCGAAGGAGAGATTTGACTATCATTTAGGGCTTTGAGAGGAAATTGTTGGCTTTTGGAAGAAATAGGAGGGAACGAAAATAAAACGAGGTAAAGAAAAAAAAGCAGGAAAAGTTTTTTCTACGAGGGTTTGGCGAGGGCCAGGAAAAAAAAAGTCTCTACTTTTTGCAATCCATCGTTGTTCCCTCATTAAGAGGTTTTACTTTCTGAGGGTTTAGTGAGGGACAATTTTTGTCGATAAAATCTTACCAATCCGTCGTAAATCCTTCGTTAATGCCTCTCTAAAACTCTATAATTATTTTGATTGAAATTTTTGTGCTTTCCGTTGCTGATCCCTCACTAAACTGTCGTTGATTAGCTACGGATAGAATCTGTAGCTAATTCCCTTGCTGTAGGTGGTGTTTCTAGTAGTGATATATTCTTCCATTAAAAGTCTAAATCATTTTAACTCCCTAGATAGTTTAACTTTTAAATATTTTAAAATATGACCATTTTGTCACTGTCTTCATCCATCCGAGAACCTTAAGATTTAAAAATTCAATTGATAAAGAATCATGTCCTTAATTGATTAATATCTTTGGTCTTTTTCTGAACAATATATAGAAATTAAAACACAAACAAGCGAGAATTTTAAACAACATAAAAAGAACTCTCACATAAATCTTTTAGTTAACCAAAATGATATGAAAATTAAAAGCCGGTTTGCGAAGCGATGAGATTCCCCATAAACAGAATCGGCAAGAATTCTTAAAATTTCAATAACAAAACCTGTATACGATCATATATCACGAAAAAAGATAAGCAGATTAAGCCATGAACCTGTAAAGATAAAAGACTTTCATATCCTCAAAATAACCATTACAAATATTTATGGTATTATCATACCAGTGACTGCAACCTCCACGACTGCACCCACCCACGCCGCCCTCCTTGATCATTACGCACTCAAAAATACTGAAAAGCAGAATGGGATTGTGAAATTGGATTGAATAACCAAGAAACAAAAAGAAAGAAAATGCGCAAGTGAACAACGCCGTAAAAATGATGGTCATAAAATATCCAACAGCCTCAATTGAAAATCAGCCACCCTGTTGGCCGGAGTAGGATCCCGGAGAAATGACGGAGACGATGGTGTAGATAAAGTTTTGAAAACAAGAATGCAAAACAAAATAACCAAAATAACTCTTTGATTAATTGGAAAATCACTCAAAACCAATGTTTTTACAATCTGTTCTCATAATCATAAACTCGATTATGGACACGTATATATAGCCTAACATACCAACTTGTATTAGACTAGAAAACTTATGACCAACTTGCCATAAACTAATCTTTTCATAAATTAGATTGCTTAAACCCAAGACTTAGGATTCTAACAGTAGAGCCATCCAATTCTGGTATGATCACCTCTATCTCTCTATCTCTCTGTCTCTATGTATGATCACCTTTATCTCTCTCTCGCAAACAACCAACACGTGTTTGACTAAGCTTATTTATGGCTTATTTTTCGAGATTATTTTTTATAAGCTCATTTTTTCTGATTTATTTTTCAATTTCTGAGCTTATTATAACTTACTCTAAGAAAATAAACCGAACTCATCAAAAATAAGTCAGAAAAAATAAACTTACAAAAAAAAAGCCATAATTAAGTTTAGCCAAACAACCCCCAAATCTATCGTCTCTTCCACGACTTGTCGACCCTTTTTTGTCAACCGTATACACCACCACCGCTACCATTGCAACATCCCAAAAACACAGTCTGAAAATTTCGTTTAATTTAATGATAAAACCATGGTCAATAAACCTCATATAGAAATCATAAGCAATGTATCTCAAAATATTATAACAACTGTCAAATATATCAGAGTATAAACATCCCAGGCTAAACAAATGGTGTGTGCACTGCAATCTTCCCGAGCTCCTCTTTTGAAAACTGAGTACCTGAAACCAAAACTGAAACTGTAAGCACGAAGCTTAGTCAGCTCCCCCAAACTACCACATACCATACAATAACATATAAACACATATTGGGCCTTGCCCACTGCATCGGGACGAAGCCCGGAAACTGCATCGGACCGAAGTCCGGAACTGACTGGGACCTTGTCCCCTGCATCGGACCGAAGTCCGAAACTAACCGCATCGGACCAAAGTCCGGAACTGACTGGGACCTTGTCCCCTGCATCGGACCAAAGTCCGGGACTAACTGCATCGGACCGAAGTCCGGAACTAACTGCATCGGATCGAAGTCCGGAACTGACTGGGCATAGCATAGCATAGCAAAACACATATCAAATAGCATAACACACATGATCATAAACTCATATACTGCATACTACGTCAGGCCGTAGCCCATAACACTTAACACATAAATCCTGTCTGAGCCACGAAGGCATCAAACAAACTAACAACTGCATCGGACCCAAGTCCGGAAACTACTGCTACTAAACGGGCCGGTATTGTGGCCTTAGACCCATTCCTACCGGAAGGAAACTCACCTCACACTGCTGAAGTCCCGTTGACACAATCCCACACTGCTGAAGTCCCGTTGACACAATCCCACACTGCTGAAGTCCCGCAGACTCCACCCCAGCTGCTGGCTGACAGATTCCCGAACTGTCAACACCAAATAACACCCAATTAATAATTGGGTTCTAACACACAACTAAAAATACATGCTTTGGATAATTACTACATTACCCCTAGCTTGGCTTACCCAAGCCCAAGGCCCAATCCATAGGCCCAAAGTCAACTAGGGATCAAAGTCCAACATATGGCCCAATTGATCAGTCCAGTCCAACATGTATCATTCTAGGGCCCAATATCATACAACCATCTAGGCCCCAACTATGGCCCATCTATGGCCCAATTTTCCAAATTGGGCCCAATCCTTCATATGGGCCTTACCCTAAAGCCCAACTAATTACTCTAGTCCATTTGATTATTCTCGGATGGCCCAATACAAAGCCCAAGTGAAATTAGGGTTTCACATCAAATGATAACTATGGTTAAGTGTTTCTTACTTAACCCACTAGGGACTTAATCCGTTAAGGACTTAATCCATTAAGTCCATTATTGCTTAGATTAATTTTGACCAATGATTATTATTTAATATTTCACTTATTAGATAATTCTCGTGTGCCCTGATAAATTCCCAAATATTAATATTTTCTCAATTAACTCATTAAGGACTTAGTCCATTAAGTTCTTTACTCTACTTGACAAATGACATGAAATAGTTTGGGCTTAATTCACAATCTAATCCCAATGGCCCAAAAGTAGGTCCAATAAAAGTCTAAGGCCCAATTACTCACAATTAGGGTTTTCCACTCAAACATGGCGCAATAGGCCCAAAATAAATCTTTAAGCCCATTAAGGTTTTGGCTAGGTCCATTAGGGTTTTGCTTGAGGGGCACCACCCACTACCACTTCGGGTAGTGGTGGTCTATGGCGGCTTACGGTGGTGGTTATTATTATTTTCATTAATAATCCAAGCTAATTACAATTACAAGTTTTACTCCAAAACTAACACACACTAACTAACTAAGCTAACTACACACACAACCACACCATGGTGGCCGGCGGCGATGCTTGGCGGCAGCCACCACCTCACGGTGGTGGCGGTGGCTATTCCTGGCTTTCCGATCAACCAATCTTAATCATACATCACTGAAATAACACACACACCCACCCTTATGCTTGGAAAAGTAGCACAACCACCACCTGGTGGGGGCTTGGCGATGGCAGAACTCCGGAAAGGCGGCAGCAGCGTCGTACATCGGTTGCTCGGAGTGGCGGCGGCCACTCGTCTGTTGGGAAAATGATGGCGAAGGGTGGTCAGAACGACGTCGGACAGTCGAGTCGGACCCTGAACATCGACAGCAAAAGAAGAAGAAGCAGGATGGCGGAAAGATGACGACTCACACACACCCGGAAGCCA